AATCATTTGTATTGAGAGGTAATTGTTTTGCATTATGTTTGCTATAAAATAAAATGCTTGATACAGTTTTTGGTTTATTAATCCTAAAGAAAAAAAAAAGGAAACGAAATGTTTGCCCATTTGTGTATTTTTGACTCATTTCCAAATTTTATTTATTTATGGGAATGAGAAGAAATAACAGTTCTGGCTGTGTTACTCAATTTAGAGTAGATCTGGCTTTAATTAAGAGTTGGTTGGAAATGCTAACATGAAGCTTTAGTGTGATGATTTATTAGCTAGAGAATGATCTGTAGAAGAGGGTAGGTGGATAGTTCCGTTAGAGTACGGCAGTATGAAAATTGAATAGAAGTTGAAAATGAGCGAAGGGCCATTAAAGCGACAGTTTTCAAGATGACGCACATTTTTGCCTAGCCCGTACGATGTACGCGGGGACTTGAAGTATGTCTCCAAGTCCACAGGCAAAAATGTGCGTGCCTCTTGTTGCTCATAAACTGACTGCGGCTGTGGAATAGTTCTAGCGACGTTTTCATCACTACCTAAAGCCCCACGTTTGCGAGAGCATTTCCAGTCGATGGTGTGTTATAATGCAGTTCTTCTTTACCCAACTATTGTGTTGCTCCTCTCGTCATGACCAACGTGATCATCTCAGAGATGAAGCGTAGGGTGGTTGTTGCGTGCTGTACCATCATCAGCATTGTTGACGGCTACTCCCGCCTTGAGTTGTTACATTCAAAGTGTTTTTTATGTTACTTCATACGCGAAGTTAACGATTTTCAGAGTTGGTTGGAAATGCTAACATGAAGCTTTAGTGTGATGATTTATTAGCTAGAGAATGATCTGTAGAAGAGGGTAGGTGGATAGTTCCGTTAGAGTACGGCAGTATGAAAATTGAATTTTTAGTAGCAACGAACGAGCGTGCGTTCAAGATGCATTTTACCGAAAAGATGTTACGGAATTTTCATCGGCGTTACATAAATTTATTCGGCGGCGTGAGCCATTTTACTGCGGCGGCGCGCCGGCTAAATTTCATCGGCGGCGGCGGCGTATGAAAATCGTCAGCGGCGGCGGCGTGGCGCGGCGGCGCACAGGTCTAATAACATCTCGGATCACGTCTTCCGTCGGAAGGGAAGTAAAGCCGTTGGCACCGGTTCATGAGTTGATGGGTCAATAGGTAGAGTTCAGGTGTCGGTAGCAATGGTGCTCAGCACGGAAAACAAAATAGACGAAAAACAAATCAAGAGAAAAAAAGTCCTAGAATTGAAATATTTTGTCGATGTCTTAGATCTCGTAAGCTTTTCAAAGTCCCTAAAATTTCAAATTTTGTTGACTTACCATGTTTTTTAAGCTGGGTAATCTGGCCAATTTTTGGACTTTGCAATTATTTGAGATTATTTGAACATTTGATAGCGCAAATATTCTTATTAATTCTCACAAAAAATCAACCAATCAGGCTACGGCCTTCTTGTCCTCTGCTGTCCGAAGAAGTCGTCTCCACTGCACTCGATCCATGGCCTCGTAGTCTGCGAAGGGTACGCAAGTCACCTTCTACTTGGTCGATCCATCTGCCCGCTGCGCACCTCTTCTTCTTGTTCTTACGACGTGCCCAGCCCACCGTAGTCGCCCAATTTTTGCAATGTGGACGATAGATGGTTCTCCCAGCAGCATTTCGTGGTTCATTCGCCTCCTCCACGTTCCGTCATCCATCTGCACTCCACCGTAGATGGGACGCAACACCTTCCATTCGAAAACATCAAGGGCGCTTTGGTCCTCCACGAGCATAGTCCAGGTCTCGTAGCCGTAGAGGACTACCGGTCTAATCAGCGTCTTGTGGATATTATTTATTCGACCGGAGCGTCCACCGGAGTCCAAAGTAGAGCACGATTCCCTGTCATAATGGGGCTTTGAACTTCTCTGTTGGTATCATTTTCGGTGGTCACAAGTGAGTTCAAATACATGAACTCGTCCACTACCTCGATTTCGTTGCCATCAATCTGAACTCGGGGTGGAGGCTGACATTGTTTTCCCTAGAACTTCTACTACGTTTCCGCCATCGTATCAGAGTTCCGTGCCATGATCCCGTTTTCATCGACGAAGCCAAGAAGCTGAATGGACTTTCTGAAGATCAAGCCACTCGTGTCTATCCCAGCTCTTCTAATTACACTTTCTAACGTGATGTTAAATAGCAGACATGAAAGTCCATCACCTTGCCGTAACCCCCTTCGAGATTCAAAGCGACTCGAGAGTGTCCCCGATACTCGAACAATGCTCACTTGATCCATCGTCACCTTGACCAATCGCGTCAGTTTATCCGGAAATCCGTACTCGTGCATAATCTGTCATAGTTCATCTCGATTGATTGTGTCGTATGCGGATTTTAAATCGATGAACAAATGATGTGTGGGCACGTTGCAGAGCCTGCCGAATCGCAAAAATTTGGTCCGTGGTAGCGCGGTATCCATGAATCCCGCCTGGTATTGCCCCACGAACTCTTTTACAAATGGTGACAGGTGGCGGCATAGAATTTGGGAGAGTACCTTGTAGGCGGCGCTCAGCAGTGGGATAGCGCGGTAGTTGCAGCAATCCAACTTGTCGTGATTGGGCATACGACACCTTCCATCCCCTCCTTCAGTAATATCTCCTCCTCCCAAAACTTGGAAATTACCCAGTGCAACGCTCTATCCATTGCTTCACCACCATATTTTAATAGCTCACTTGGTAGTTGATCTACACCAGTTGCTTTGTTGTTCTTCAGCCGACCGATCTCCTCCTCAACTTTTGAAGATCAGGGGTCGATAGACTGTCGTCTCCTGCGCGTGCTCCAAGATCTGTTCCCGTGCCAACTTCGTTTTCTGCTGCATCACCGTTGAGGTGCTCGTCATAGTACTGTTCCCACCTCTCAATCACCTCACACTCGTTCGTGAGAAGGTTACCGTCCAAGTCCTTGCACATATTGGCTTGCGGCACGTAGCCTTTGTGCGAACTAAGTATTTAGCTTCTCGTAGAATTTCCATGTGCGGTACAGATTTTCCATCGCCTTGCAATCTCAGTCTTCCTGCTGACGCTTCTTCCTTCGAAAAACCGAGTTTTATCTGTTCCGCGCTTGTCTGTATCGCTCCACATTCAATCCCGTGCGGTGTTGTAGCATGCTTGTGCTGCTGCGAGCGGAATTGTTCGTATAGTTCCGCTATCGTTCATGATGCGCCTACAAAGTTCTTAGCGTTATCGATGAGTGCTGGCCTACCACGCCGGGCAACGAATCGTTTTAGGGAAGTAATAAACGTATTCGTCGAGAGATCCGCTATAAGCTCGATGTGCACCGCCTTTGACGAAAGGCACACAAATATTGCGACGTAGCACTCGACAGGAGACCATTTCCTCGGAGCGTGCCGATAGAAGAGTGGCCCACACAGATCGACACCAGCGTTGAAAAACGGAAACGTTGGTGTGACGTGTTTGGCTGGTAGATCGCCCACGATCTGTTCGAGAGCAGTGGGTTTGCAGTGAAAGAACTTTAGACAATCATGAACTAGCTTCCGCACCAGGTTGCGTAATTGCAGTGGCCATTATTTCTCCCGCACGCTTGCGATGAGTAGCTGTGGACCAGCATGGAGCAGCTTCTCGTGATACGAGGGTATGATGAGCTCCGTAAGTGGATGGTGCGTGGCAAGAATGATCTGATGCTTCCAGTCTTCGGAAAGAGGCGTGTTTCGAAGCCGGTCACCGGTAGGTTGCTTGGTTGAGTTCCGTGGTTCGGAGAAATCCCTTCGTTTGATCCTGTCGAGCAGGCTTGCAACTATGGCTAAATCTTCGTCACCACTAGATGAACTAGCTATGGAAATGATGATAGTAGACTGAGTATGAGGTTTGAAGGTTGGATCTGAATGGGCAGCAGAGCGTTCGATTGTTCATCGAGGTCCTCGGACAGAAACTCATCGTCAGCCGTACGAATATGTGACAGCCAAAACCTGGACGTTTGCCTTTGCCTGGACCGTGCTACGTGCTACCAGATATCCGAATCCTTCAGTTGTGTTGGAAGCATTCTACAGGACATGATGTTCGCCGGGTTTTCTAGTCTAGCCACGTGTCCCCAATTGCCACGCGCAGTGATATGCTGTTTGCTACAAACGTCCTCCATCGTAATGGTGTTCCAGCTAACCAATATTTAATGTAGTACGATGGTGGAATCAACCCAGTAGTAGCACTTTAGATCCATTTTCAAACTGTGCTGGACTTTCTGGAAGAGGTGGTTGAGAAACAATGCACCAGAAAGTTCAAGATGTGCTTCTATGACGACTGGTTAATTATCTCCTAAACTTCACCCAGCGCTGTTGGAGCTCTTCTTTCAATGGTGCGTTCCAAGTCTTCTTGTTAGCCCAGAGTTCCTGCATGAAGCACTTAGCAAGTACGATGACGAGCCCTACGAGTCCCAGAGGGTTGTAGAGGCGAGCGGAATCTGAAAGGGAAATGCGTTTTGTGATGACATCATCTTTGTTCCATTTTGGTACGTTGAACTCGACTTCATCGGAGCCGGGGGTCCACTTGAGTCCCAGAGTTTTGACGGAAGAAGTCGAATCAAGGTCGAGTACCGAGCGTTCGTCTAGAAGATGTGCTGGGATGTGTTTGAGTATTTCCGTTGAGTTTGAAGCCCATTTACGAAGGCTGAACCCAGCTGATTGGAGCAGTTGGCTACATAGAACCTTTCCTTCTTCCACATCGTCGAACCCGCTAATCATGTCGTCCGTGTAGAAGTCGTTCGCAACAACCCTTGAAGTAGCAGGATGAAACGACTGACCCTGCTTTGCGAGCTCCTTAAGACATTTTGTGGCGAGATAGGGTGCGGCAGAGGTCATCATCAAAGCGTCGTTCAGTATGATTCCAGTATCGGTGACACAAGACGCGTTGAACACAACACTAAGTTTAGTTGTGAGACTGTCCGTACGTACGATGCAATGATGCGGAAGGTAGCAGGAAGCGGACGTGGACAACGAATCTTCAGATACTTCCTCCATGTGCCCCAGCTGGAGATATTCTTGTATGAACTTCGAGTAAGCTGATTTGAGCAAAGGGTTCGCTTCAAGACGCCGACTCAGTGAAAGGAGCCAACGTTAAGCGATCGGGTAGTAGTTTCCAAGCTTTTGTAGGACCTCAGGCTTTTTTTGAAAAGTAACCACGAAACGACCACTATTGTCTCTAGTCATAGTAGCAGCAAAATGAGCTTCGCCGGACGATTCTTCGACGGACATTGTACTGGAAGAGTGACACGACTCCCAAAATCTGTCTAACTGATCCTCTACCGTTTGATTACCGCACACATGAGCAACCACAGTTAAACTTGACGGTTTGGTCAATCCAACTTTTCTTGAGACGACCCAGCATGGTTTTCTGCAGCACCGATTTTCCTGGACCCAGTTTCACGAAACCTTGTAGGAGAAGATCATAGTAAATCTCCATTCCGATGCTCATGTCTAGAGATGCTGAAACTTTGGAACTGCAAAGACGATATAAGATGGCCATTCCCAGTTGGTAGTATCCACAGCGTTCGGCGGTAGATTACGCGTTATTTTGCTGAGGATATGGAAAAGTCTGCACAATAGAAGCCCAGGTAATGTTTAAAAACGAAGTTCTTGCGCTTTTTTTGTTGCAGAAATGCATATTTCATTTTATATAAATTATGCAAGTTAGTTCCTGCATTATTGGGTCACTTACCTTACTCAGTTCCTTGTCCTTTTTCACTCAAACCAGTTCACAAACGTACGTTGCTGTCCATTAGACCGATGCAAAAATGGGTTCACAGTGCTTAAGCGGTTCCAAATCGAATCCTGATTAGCCTCCCAAACTCATTTGATTAGAAACGAACTGGACAGAAATCATTTGAAGTTTATATGAAAATTACTGTGGAAGTGCCAAACTTTTAGTTCAGCTACAACTTTGCAGAAGATTGATGTTCAGCCAAACGTCAATTTTGTGAAGTTCTGCCATTGATTGAGGAATCCGATTGCAGGCGTCCACTCGCAATGACGGTACGACGAGGAAGAGGACGCAAGACGATCGCTGCGTGCTGTCGTAGTCTGCCGTCACATCTGCTGAGGAGTGCGCAGGGTTATGTTCGTAGTAAGTAGTGAACGGCTAGCATCTCTATGCGGGGGTATTAAATACCGCACAAATTTAAATAGTTTTAATTTTTTAAGAGACTGATAATCCTATGGCATGATCAAGCAGCTGTTTTAATATTAAAAATAATCAAGCTCACCTAGAACCATGCTATTTATGACGAGATTTAGTGAAAATTTAAGCCTGAATTTTCATAGACATCAATATAATTTTTCTATTTTTTTTCATCACAAATGGATTCATTATCTTCATGACCGCTACGAACCAAGGAGCAGTACAATGTTTTCAAAGCGTGCACATCATCGAATTCCGCAGCGTTGCGACGCAGAAATTCAAGCAAGGAATTTGCCTTTTCAATTTATATAGATATGTGCTTGTTGAATCTAAGTTTGCTATCCAAGATAAGTCCTAGATCTTTAATAGAATCAACTCGAATAATCAAATCTGATCGGCGAGTGACAACGGGTGAAGGTAATGACTTTGCATTTGGCAGTGTTTGCTTGAATTTCGTTCATCTGTCACCACAATGTTAACCGCTTGATGTCAGGTTGTAGTGCACAACAAGCTAGGATCAATTTGATCACACGGTAGACTTTCAAATCATCAGTATATTACAACTTACAGGAACTTAAGTGGTCACACACAATTCGTTAATAATAAAAACGAAAATAAGAGGTGCTAAGTGGCACCCTTGTGGAACTCCCGATGGTATATCAAACACATCGGATCTGGCATCATGAACCTTAACGCAGGCTTTCCTGGAGGATACATATGATTTTAAACAGCGAACGACTAACGGCGGAAGACCAAGACGGCTCTGCTGTGTGATAGCGAGGTCATTAGGAACGCATTGTCGAAAGCATTGGAGAAGTCAATTTAAACGGCGTCTTCTTCCTCTTGCTGACGCTTTTCTATGCTACTAATAAGAGGTGTAAGACATCAAGTTGGAGATCGTCGAGCACTTTTTCATGAATCCATCCAACTTGTCATGCAGAAGAGTTTCAAGAACTTTGGTCAAACCATTAAGTAGCGAGATAGGTCGGTAGTTTTCCACGCTGTAAACGTTACCTGACTTGATGCAAGCTTCCAGGAATCCGGAAAAACGCCATCCAGGAGTGAACGATTGAAGATAGACATAACGGGTGTGGCCAACGATGCTGCACAATTCTTGATGAAAGATGGTGGAATACGATCCGGACTTCGGCCTTACGATGCATCCACCGAGCAATGGGCTTTGAAAATAGCGTCATGGCTGAAGTAAAGCTGCTGCAGACGAATGTTGTCGATGTACTGCTGCTGCGGAGGAGTTTGATCGAGATCGAAAACGTTTCGAAAGAAATCAGCGAAGCGTTTTGCAGAAGTGGCATCGGTGGAGGAGCTTCGATTACAGTAGGTGACGTCTGTCGGAAAACCAACTGACCTTTTGCGAGCGTTTAGTTTATGAAAGACCAGAACGACGATGATGGGTTTTCTTTGAAGCCCCTCTGGAGGTTAGCGATATACTCATGCAAACTGTTGTACTCGGCTTCTGCAAGCTGTGCACTGTAGAGTACGAAGTAAGGAAGTAAGTGAAACTGAGCAATAAAACTTGAAATGAAAATGATGTTTATGGCATACAAGTAAATAAGATGATCTCAGACCCAAACCAATTGTTAGGAAGAAATATTTCACAGTGATATGATGACGTTTCTCTAACCCTATGAAAATAATATTATTAGGAAGAAATATTTCTTGGATACAGTCGAGGTTCGACACAAGGTATACTTTAGGTGCTGTATTGGGAATGGAATAAAACGAAACGGTAGAAACGGTTAAGACAAGAGAAAAAGTATTTCCGGAAGATAGCATTTTTGGAATAAGACAGAGAGAGGGAGAGTGAGATAGAAACTATCGAGTAAGGGTTTAGCATCAAGAGGGAAAGAGAATGCGTGTGAGGACAAGCGGACTCATCTTGTGCTCTTTGATGGAACGGCATTCTTGTGACGATTTTCGAGGCGAGTAGTTCGTTATGGAGGAAGCAGCAGATTTTGGACACCACATGCACCATATTTGTTTTCAGCATTCCTGGAGCGAAAGTAACGTTTACTGGCCTTACGCAGACGGTTACGCAGATTACGCTATTGCGGTTGTTGGAAATGCACAGAAGGTCTACGAGCCTTTTCCGGAATAGTAGCATAGATTACTTGATAAATATTGTCATAGAATACGGACACGACGGCATTAATGTTAGGTAAGTTTAGTAATTGCACCCAATCCAACGCTGAGATCCTCGCAATAATAGCATCGAAATCACACCGTGCGAAATTGTAATCACTGCGTGCTGCTGGATGCTTATGATACTATTGACCGTGAAGAGCTATGGAAGATTATGGACGAGAACGGTTTTCCCGTGAAGCTGACCAGACTGATCAGGGTTACGATGGATGGTGTACAGTGCTGCGTGAAGATATCGGGTACGTTATCGGACTCGTTTGAAACTCGCAAAGGACTTCGACAAGGCGATGGTCTTTCCTGCCTCCTGTTCAACATTGCGCTAGAAGGTGTTATGAAACGTGCGGGCTTTAACATGTGGGGCACGATCTTCAATAAGTCCAGCCAGTTCATCTGCTTCGCTGAGGACGTGGACATTGTCGGAAGAACGTTTCAGGCCGTGGCGGAGGGGATAGGGCTCGCATAGGCAGAAGTGTGACAATCGACGGAGATGAGTTCGAGGTGGTGGATGAATTTGTGTACCCCGGATCATTGGTGACGTCGGATAACAACTGTAGCAGAGACATTCGTCGGCGTATTATTGCCGGAAGTCGTGCTTACTACGGACACCACAAGACCCTGAGGTCGGGTAAACTTCACCTTCGTACTAAATGTACCATGTACAAGACGCTGATTAGACCGTTAGTTCTCTACGGGCACGAGACGTGGACGATGCTCGAGGAGGACCTGCAAGCACTGGGTGTTTTCGAACGACGAGTGATTAGGATCATCTTTGGTGGGGTATGTGAGAACAGTGTATGGTGAGCTGGCGCAACTCTATGGCCAACCCTGTATCCAGAAAGTTGCGAAAGCTGGACTGGTACGATGGGCGGGACACGTTCTAAGAATGACGGACAACAATCCCGCAAAAACGGTGTTTGCCTCGAATCCGGCCGGTACAAGACAAAAAGGAGCACAGCGAGCAAGGTGGTTAGACCAAGTGGACCAGGATCTTGGAAGTGTGGGACGGTCAAGAAATTGGAGGCAAGCAGCCACGAACCGAGTGAATTGGCGTAACATTGTGATGCAGGTGCAATCCTGAGGGATGTCGGACCAGGATAAGTAAGTAAGTAAGTAAGTAAGTAAGTAAAGTAAGCGTGCTGCTGGATACGATGACGGATGGTCGTTCGAACGGATATCAACTTTCAAAACTAACGGCTTATGATGGCGATCAACTTTCAAAATGGCAGATTGATCCATAGGATCTGAATCACTGACGAGCACCAGGTCGAGAAGTTTACCAATCGTGTGGACCAAATCCCTGATTTGCTTAAGTCCTGCAGACAATAAGGACTTGACTACAGTAAGTTTCTGTTCAGATGAAGCACTGAGAGGTAAGAATCCTCATCGAAGTCCCAAGCTAGATCCGGAAGGTTGTAATCACCCATAACTATAGTCGTATGATGAGGGCTAGCCATTTCAAGAAGCTGTTGTACGGAGTCGGTGTGCTTGGTGTAGGTGTCGATTTGAATACTGGGACTACTAACTTTTGTGCCTTAATTTTATCGAAAAGTGTTCTTCCGCAAAGTTGTTCCTGAGAAAAATTTCCTACAAGCATAACTAAAGGGTGTCCACAGTTAAAATGCATCACTTTAAAAAAGCTGTAACAATTGCCCTTTGGGTTAATTTTAATAAAATTGTGGGTGAGGTG